CATTATTAAAGACTTCGATACAAAAATGAAAATTTGTGAATTGGCAAAGAAGTTTGATCTACCGGAATTGTCGGTCAGAACAATTATAAAAGACAAAGAAAAAATTCTCGAAGCTGTGAAAAAATGCTCAATATTTAAATTCAAGCATCATTTGTAAACGTCACAGTATTATCGCTGAGATGGAAACAATGTTAAAATTATGGCGTAATAATCAAGTAAATGTGAAAAATTGTAAAATAATAAGCCTAATTTGTTATACATATGTATTATCTAAGATTTTATTAAACATTTTTTTCTAAATTATTGTTTTCTTTAGTCTCTTGCCCGAATTAAAAATTATTTGTATGTATTTATATGCAAAATTACACCCCGACTTATGCGAATTCGACTTACACGGTTACCGCTCGGTCCCACCTATCGCGTAAGTTCGGGGTATTACTGTATAGGGACACACACGCCCATTTTTATATATATATATAGATGTCCTTGAGAATATTAAAAATACTAGGCTATTTGTAAATTTATTATAAAATATGTTTATAATAAATTTCTGTGACCTCAAAGATATATACTTTTTAGTATAAACTATATTGTATTTTATTGTATACAAGTTTATTTCTGAAAAATAATGTAGTAAGGGCATCTGTACAGAGGAGCCAACTTTCTTCTTTACTTTTTTCAAATAATTTTAAACAGTAATGGTATTTTTTTAGAGTAAATTCATTTTAATAGTTAATACACTGAAATACAGTCTGCATATGACAGATAATATTTCAATTTCTCAATATCAAATATGCAGCAGCTTGATTTGAAAGACACTACATTTTTTAGGGTAGGAGTTTTTTTGCTTGTTTTTCATGTGTTGTTATTACTCACTCTCATAAAATAAATGAAATAATATAAGGAGAAGCAAACCCATTTAAGGAACATGCTTTTAGTGAATTAATTGGGTTGTTAATTGATCTACAATCATTCATATTTTGTCTCCTGAGACAAAATCCTATGGACACCTTTTATTTAGTGTCATAAAAATCCAAGATATGAAGGAAATAAACACATTTTATCATTGCCTAAATAAATTGCATAAAAACAATTTGAAAATATAAATTAATAATACACACTAGCTTACCTTCATGTTTTTAAAACTAGTCTGTAAATATAACGAATATGGAAATGGACGAGAAAATGGATGATTAAGCTTCATTAACAGTTTCGAAGACATTAATAGCACATGGAAACCTTCCAAAATATCACATCTATTTTTAATAGAAACTCTATTATTTTGAAGAACCCATTCCCTTAAATTGATTCTTGATGATAAACATTTAACATTTTTTTCATTCGCAAACATAGCCATCAAATCATCTGGACGAGTGATATGTTCATTAATCATCTGACGAATATTAGATGCTTGAATTCTAGCAGAATCTGGTATAAACAGAACGTAATCAGTATGTATAAAAAGTTCAGGTTGCGAATCATTTATCGGTTGATAAGGATACGAATGAAGAGCAATAGTCGTAATTCTACTACTAGGAAAATCTTTAGCCAACTGCAAATGAAGAGGAGGATAAGGACTCTTATCAGAGATAACAAGAATGTGTATATACTTATCTAATTTTAACAGAGATCTTATAGTATCTATTATATCATTTTCAAATAATTCAAATTCTCTAATAATCACAGTAACAAGTTTGCTTAATTTTTTCATAGGTTTGGGTGATGCTTTAGTATAATTTTTTCCAACACCATTCTCCTTGAAGTCTCTTAAATTAAATGAAATTTCATTCAAAGGTCTCTTGGGAGATCCTCCTTGACAATCACAACTGTCAACATCCAATATTAACCAAATATAACATATAGTTAACAAATAAATGGCAAAAATAGCTAGAGTTATATATTTCCAATTCCATATTCGTTTCATTCTGTTTTATGTTAACATATTTGCTTAGAAACAACAAATCTTCCACACCAAACGAATAGCACGTGTGAAGCAAACCCAGTAAACCTTCTCGATTTGAATTTTTAAAGTCTGAACCGAGTTACTCTACATTCGTCTTATTTATTAATAAAGTATTAAATTAATAATTTATTTGACGAAGTACTTATTATTATAACGTTAATTAGTTTAATTTTTTATTTAAAAAAAAATATTTCGTATGACGTAATTTTAAGAAATCCGAGAACGATGGCGCTCGAAAACGAAGAGAAAATGGAGGGAGTTTCAACGGAAAGTAAGCAGAAAGAAGTTAACGAAAATAATGGAAGATTGAGTAAACTGTTAAAAGCATCTCTTGATAAAACAATTGAGAAATATCTTCATTGTGCTAAGTGAGATATATTTCTTTTTTTTTTGTTTTGTTAATGTATAAATTTTGGGGCTCAATTCAAGCTCTGAATGATACGTTTGGGACCTTAACAGAGCTGTAGAGGGCACAAAGTTACGTTTGTATTATAATAAAGTTAATTATGTACGTAAACAAGTAATCGTTTATTTTACGGACACAACAGTTTCTTTGACTTTTTTGTTCGTGTGAGTATGCTCTACAGGGTTGAAATCTAGGACAAATATACGCAATTGGGACTGGGAGACAGCTGTAGAGCATATCGATAGGAACAAAAAAGTCAATGGAACCATACCTGTACGGGCGACCTTTTGCGAGTTAAAACCCTAGATAACTAATCATTCATCCACACGACGACTCATCTTCGCTGGAAAGTGAAATTCAGAAACTTTCCCGTACTTCCTGCCAGTCATTCTTTTTCTACCTTAATAATTTGAGTAAACAGTGCAGTGTATGATGTAATTGTGTTCACACATCAATTAGAAATTGACTTACGGCCATCCTGTAGTCTGCTTGACGAAAGTTTAGTTACTATGTAACTTTGTTGCAAAGTCATGTACATTGTTATGGCTGCAGATGTAAAAAGTTAGTACATAATAAATGCCATTCCCTATTTAGGAAAAGGTACTGATCCTCAGATACAAATATTGGCTACGTTTTTCATAAAGGAAATAACATCTATTTTACATGGAACAAACTGTAACATTACTATGGATAACAGGTTCACATCTGTATCTTTGGCAGATGAACTATTGAAGTCACCTTATAATTTGACCTTAGTTGGCACTCTTAGAAATAACAAAAGAGAAATTCCTGAAAAATAAAAAAATTCTAAATCACGTGCTGTTGGTACTTCAATATTTTGTTACGACGGCAATAAGACATTAGTTTCGTACAAAGCCAAGTCAAATAAAGTTGTTTATGTTTTATTGACTATTCATGGTCAACTTGACATCAATGAAAATACAGGAAAATCACAAATAATACATTTTTATAATAGTACAAAGGATGCGGTAGACACAGTAAGTCAAATGTGTTCAAATATGAGTCAAAACCAAAAGGTGGCCACTATGCGTGTTTTATAATATGCTAAACCTATTGGCAATAAACAGCTATGCTATCTATGTCTCTAATAACATTAGAAACAAAAAAAACCGATGTCCCGGTGGGATTTCTTTATGAAGATGAAGACAAACTCATGGAGCCTGGCTACAACAGTTGTTACAGACAGTGCCTTTGAGGCGTGATATCAGAACCATAATATAGGATATTCTAGGTGATGTGTCCAGTGTAGAAGCTTCTACTCATTCTGCATCAAATCTGCGTAAAATATGCTATTTATGTCTATTGAAAGCTCAACGAATAACAAAACACTGTTGCATGAAATGCAAAAGTGCATTTTGCAGCCCCCATAATGTTAACATATGTAGCAACTGCATGTAATCTTATTTTCTAAATATTTTGTCCTTAGTTCCTATTTATCAATACTATTGTGCCATGTAACAAGTTCCTATTTTTATTAAACAATTTTGTTGATATTAACGTTTTTTAATGTGTAGTCCACTCGACGAATGTGTAGTTATAATGTAACTGAAATTTAAGTTTAGTTATCTAGGGATAAGTACGAATGTATCGACGAATCTTGTCATCATGACAAAGGTCAGAAGTGTGGGGTCACCTAACTAGGTCAAGGGGGAATTTGGTGTGGTTATCCCCTGGAGGTTTACATAACAGGAACCATACCTCTATGAGTGACCCTTTGTGAGATATTTGCCTCCAAAGGTCAGTTTTAGCATTTACCTGTAAACTATTTGTTCTCCATGCTTTGCATGTAATTGTGTGCTTCAGTGCTTACTATTGCTTGCACACTCCAGTGCAATGCCCTTATGGGGCAAACTCTCACACCCTATAAAACTTTATAACATCAAGTACTCCACAAATAGTCAAGTGGGCTATTCAAAGCCAGCATAATTGTGTGGGCTAAATAGTTAAACATGATAGTTTTAAGTGGAGCGTGATGGTGCGACTTCCAATTGTGTGTGGCTGATTTTGGGGGCTGTATCTTGCAAAGGATCGCACATAGAGGTGTGATTCCTTTGACTTTTTTGTGGTTTACAGCTCTAGTAATGTTGCAACCATCTCATTCAGAGGTATAATTGTATCTATTTTGGCTTTTATAATTGCAGTCATTTGGAAGGCATTGGTTTAACCAAATTTTCCATTAATTTTGGGTCTGTTTTGGATCATTTTTCTAAAAGAATGCATTTTAAATAATCTTTGCCTCTGATACTGTAGTGAGATTTTTTTAACAGAAGAAAGAATCACTACAAATACGGTGGAACCTCGGTATACGACCTTAATCCGTTCCTGATGTTTGGACTTATACCAAATAGGACGTACACCGAACCAACCTTTCCCATAAGAAGTAATGTAAAAATGATTAATCTGTTCTCATGAAAAAAAATGGCTGGCTTTAAACACCTCGCTTTCCTGCTTGATTTTTCATGAGATCAGCATGTATTTTTTTAGCTTTCTCGCAAATAATTGCTTCTGATACGATGTCACCAGCACACTGTTTTTCAGTTATCCAAAGCAAAAGCAATTTCTCAACATGATCTAATGTCTTCAATCTCTATTTAGAAATTGATATAACCCCTTCTGCAACATTAGCAGATTTAATAATGTCTTTATTTTTTACAATTGTTGATATCATCGTTCTCAGAATACGGTATGCGACAGTTAAATCTCGAACACTCATGCTGCCTTCATGTTTCTCGTTAATCTCTTTTTTCAGTTCCATTGTGATTCTAATCATTTTTTTAGTTTTCTGTTGCTTTTCATTTGTCTTTTTGCAATTCATGATTAATAAAAATAATAAAATTTTACTTACAAATTAAAATCAGAAGAAATTTAACAAAGTTATAAACTGTACACTGTGAACATCTAGTCTGGTCTAGTACACCAATAGTGCTACTTGTTCATAGATGGCACGTATACAGAACAAAAGTTGTATACCGAGCAAAATTTGTTTCGTCCAAACAGGACGTATTCTAAAGCAGACGTATACCGAGGTATCACTGTATCGTATTTTCTTATTTGTCACTCCAAGTGGTCCAAACATGTTTTTTTAGAGGAATGATCCAAAATTGACCCAAAAGTAAGGAGTTGTCCATAAATTATGTCCATATTTTCTTGAAGTTTTTACTCCTCCTTCTCCTCTTGTCTACATGTTTCTGTAACCTTTCCCCTCTTTAGACATCCAACAAAACTCGACCCCTGTTAAAATCTTTATCACTTTACAAATGATAGATACCATATGTAGAAATGGAACATACAAGAAATTTTGAAATAATTATAATAAAATGCATTAACTGTATAAAATTTAATGGAATAAACTGGATGTCCATTGAAGATCAACCCCTTCCCTTTCCTTGTCTGACTTGTAACCCCCTCCCTCCCCTCTAGTGTGGACATCATTTATGGATGGTTCCTAACAGAAAATTTGGTTAAATCAATGCCTTCCAAAATGATCTTTGTTATAAAAACCAAAAGATATCCCACAAAATATTATAAGCTTTTGAAAATTAATTTGAAAAGTGCCTTTTGTTTTCTTATGTGTGTTTACTTTTGTGATATGAATTTGTCAATATTTTCCATATGTTGAAATATCTTTGTTATATCATTATAGTTTTCTTTTGTCTGTGGCACTTTAAGTTTCTTATAAAATAAATAATTTATCTTGTTTTTTCCTGTTATTAATTTTTACTTTCTCAGCTGTTATATAAATAACAGAGGAGAAAGTATGGCAGTCAGTCAAAAAATGACTGCCTCCAACACTTACATTTTTGAATTTGGGCCTTGAAATGTCAAGAAATGCAAAACAAATTTGGGGTTTTTTTTTTTTGTTTGTATGAATGTTTCGGGTGTGTGTTTCTATGACACAATTTTGTTCGCCCACTTTGAAACTTAATAACTCCAGTCTTTTGTTGAATATTTCTGAAATTTTGCAGGGTGGTTTGTATATTAGTAGGATTGATGTTATTAAATTTTGGCAGTTAAAGATCAAGGGGGCCATGTATCGTATCTCAAGTAGTGTCAGACTTAATGAAGATTTTACTCGTTATTAGCATTTACAATTTTTTATAAAACTTATTTTTACCCTCAAAATTAAGCTTTCAGCCATTTTATAATTATATAAAGTTTTTTAAAATAAAATACCATAACAGATGGTTGCCACATGCAGTTTTAAATGTTGTTGCCAGGAAAGTTAAGCAACTCATCTCTGGATTTTTGATTGTCTATAATATACTAGTAGCCCGGGACGCCCCCTAGTGGGCATTCTTTACAAATTCCCATGAGACACAGTTCCTTTGACTTTTTTATTCCTATCAATATGCTCTACAGCTCTGTTAAAGTGCCAATCGCGTCATATGGATCTAGATTTTTACCTATTAAACATTCTATAGATATAAATACTTTAAAATAGCTTAATTTGTTTACTTACCTTTGCTTGTAAACCTCGATTTTAAATGTATCCGCCATTTTTTCAACAAATTTCCTGAGAGTCAATGCACGATGTTCACTTAGTCAATGGATGTTGTAAACGTGCTGCGCAAGGTTAATCGAGGTATATAATAATTATTTATACCATTCCATGGTATAAATAATAAATTCATATCAATAATAAATTCCTATTACAAATAAACATAATTTATTGTTAATTTAAAATCATCGCTACGGCGCCTCTAGTGCTTGCTTTTGGCATACCATTACATGGACAGACACGCGTTGAATGGGTTATATAGATAGATGTGGGGTATATTACTTTTGTAACTCACTGTTTATAAATAGACATAAAAGTAAATTCTGTTATAAATAATGACAACCAAATTTTTTATGCTATTATTTAATACAATAATTTTAGAAAATGTATCAACTAATTTAACATAATTGTTTCTAGGTATATGCTCTTCGCTGAGAATTTTGCAGCAATACATAAGAAACATAATAATGATTTAGCAACTGTTCATCAGCAATTTATTTCAAAACTTGAATCAAGTATCAGAGAAGAAATCAAGCTTATGTATCAAGAAGAAACTATTAACACTTATTTAAATAAATTGGATGATTTGATAATGAAGGCTGGATCTAATCAAAAATCATGTAAATGGTAAATATAAATAATCATTCAATTTTATTGAATTCTTAATGTAATATATAATAGAGAAATGAAAAGTTATTATTTTTATCATTAATTTTATATCTATTGTCAGGGCCATCAAATGCTTGTATGGGCCCAGGGATAGAGCACTTTTTCAGATTTTTTTCTTTGAACAAATGAATGTTTTTATTAATAAAAAGTAGTCTTAAAGATTTTACTTTTTGTTAGTAAAAATAACATTAATTTATAGAGATAGGAACAGCTAGGGACCTAAGTTTTCTATGGACCCAGAGAAAAAAAAATCTGCTCTTCCTTCTGAACAGAGCTTTGTCTGTTTTCATGTATGTCATACTTTTTTTTCTCATGAAAACATACTATTTTTTGAGACAATAAATAATTACTAGATTAGAAGAAGAAAAACTGTGATATGAAAAAACAAAATATATACAATTTTTTGTAATTGTTTAATTTATTGAAGATTTTGGAAGTAGGATAAAATTTTGTTAAGATTGATTTTCTGAATCATGATATAATGTAAAGTTTAAGGCACTGTTCATATTCTTTTTAATAATCATAAAGGATAATTTTTTTCTTTGTCCTGTGGGCATTTAGGGTGCCTTTTAATTAATCAAATCCATTGTGGGTTCAGCCAGGTGGTAAGGACTGGATTCAACACATCTGTGGTTGATCTGTCCAGATTTGTTCTCAAGAGCAGTTGGCTGACATTTTAACTGTTTGGCTGTCTGGACATTCATATATAGCAGTGTTTCTCAACCTCTAATGAACTGTCGGCCCCCTTCACTTCAAAATTCCGATGCCGAGGGCCAAGGCTAACGCCAAATTTGTACTGCATTGCATAGACTGGTGACTAGTATAATGTTATTTGTTTAATTATTGTACGATATAACGAATAAAATATCTAATTATTCTTAATACAATGTTTTACTATATCGCCCAGAAAATTGTTTTTCGCCCCCAAAATATAAATTGTTACTAATTGCCCTCTCAACATGGAAAAACACCCACATGGGGGTGATATCACCCCTGTTGAGAAACACTGACATATAGTGATTATGTAAATGCAGTTTCTGCTTATTATAATCATGGATATTATTAATTATTTAATGTTATTAGAATTAGCATGCACCAAACCATACACTCAGTGGTGATATTCAGTGGGTTTGCACAGGTTCGGCTGAACCCGTTATTAACATTTTCAAAGTTTTCCGAACCTTGTTAAACACACGTAACATTTCTCAGTGGTTTTGTTTCTTTTAAAAAATATATTAAAATATACGTATTATACTCTGTAACACTACTAAACTAGAGCCTTATACCCCGTTCGCCTTGGTGCGACCTCCCTTGACCGTTTCAATCTCGACTGAAACGAGGTTCAATCGCGGTCGACTCAAGAGAGTTCTTGAAACTAGATCCAGCATAAGAGAGATCTCATAATCATACACGCATGAGAAAATACAAGATGGCTGCGGAACATGTGTCGTAAAAAAATATGTACAAAATCACGGGTTCCCAACCTATGGGTCGCGACGGGTTTTCTGTGGGGTTGCCAACTTATGCAGTAAACTAAAACAAAATTTTCACTATAATGCAATATTTATTTTTAATGGTGTCTTAAAGTTTGAATAATCTAAATATATAAAATTGCTTGTCCTGACTGACTCACTCATTCATTCACTGATTCATCATCGCCCAGAGCAAACCGCTTAACCTAAAGAGGTGAAATTTGGTACACAGTTAGGGTACGTCATGGAAACGCACACTAAGAAAGGATTTTTCGAAATTCCAACGCGGGGGGGTG